TACACCCACCTCCCTTCACACACACCATCTTAGGCACTCCCACCTCCCCTGTACTACAACTTAGGCACCCCCACCTCCCTGTACTACATGTAATAGGCACCCCCACCTCCCCACACACATCTTAGGCAACCCCACTTCCCACAATACCATCTTAGGTACCCCACTCTCCTGGTACTACATCTTAGGCACCCCCACCTCCCCATACTACCATAATAGGCACCTACCCACCACACACACCATCTTAGCCACCCCACCCATCCACACACCTTAGGAACCCCCACCTCCCCACACACCATCCAGGTACCCCACCTCCCCACACCCATCTTAAGCACCCCCACCTCCCCCCACACACCATCTAGGCACCCCCACCTCCCAGGACGACACATCTTAGGCACCTGCACATCCCCGCACACCACCTAGCACTCCTCCCCACACATCATCTTAGGCACCCTTACCCAAACACACCATCTTAGACACCCCTACCTCCCAACAACACAGCACCATTACCACCATCGCCACCAAACACAGCCACCCGTCCACCACCACCACCACCAAACACAGCCACCTTACCACCACCACCACCAAACACAGCCACCCATTACCATCACCCACCACCAAACACAGCCACCATTACCACCACACCACCACCAAACACAGCCACCATTATCACCACACCACCACACTCAAACACAGCCACCATTACTACTCACACTCACCACCAAACACAGCCACCATTACTCACCACCACCAAACACAGCCACCATTACCACCTCACCACCACCACCAAACACAGCCACCATTACTACACACCACCACCAAACACAGCCACCATTACTCACCACCACTATGAAACACAGCCACCATTACACAACACCACCACCACCCACCAAACACAGCCACCATTACTACCAACACCACGAAACACAGCCACCATACCACCACCACCACCACTACCACCAAACACAGCCACCATTACTACCACACACCACCAAACACAGCCACCACACACCACCACCACCACCCCACCAAACACAGCCACCATTATCACCAACACCAAACACAGCCACCACACCACCACCACCACCACCACCACCAAACACACAGCCACACCACTACCACCACCACCAAACACAGCCACCACACCACCACCCCACACCACCACCACACCACCACCACCACCACACCAAAACACAGCCACCACACTACCACCCACCACCAAACACAGCCACCACTACCCACCACCACCACCAAACACAGCCACACCACATACACCACACCACCAAACACAGCCACCACACCACCCACCACACCACCACCACCACCACAAACATATCACCATTACCACACCACCACCAAACACAGCCACCACACCACCACCCACCATTACCACCACCACCACCACCACCACCAAACACAGCCACCACACACCACACCACCCCACCAAACACAGCCACCACACACCACCACACCACCACCACAAACACAGCCACCACACCATCACCACCACCAAACACAGCCACCATTACCACCACCACACCACCACCACCAAACACAGTCACCACACCACCACACCCCACCACCACCACACCACCACCAAACACAGCCACCACACCACCACACACCACCACACACACCACCACCACCACACCACCAAACACAGCCACACCAAACACAGCCACCACACACTACCACCACCACCACCACCACCAAACACAGCCACATTACTACCACTCACCACCAAACACAGCCACCACTACCACCACCACCATCAAACACACAGCCACCACACACCACCACCACCACCACCACAAACACAGCCACCTCCACCACCCACACCCACCAAACACAGCCACACCATTACTACCACCACCACCAAACACAGCCACCACACACACCACCACACCACCACACCAAACACAGCCCATTACTACCACCACCACCAAACACAGCCACCACACACACCACCACCAAACACACAGTCACCATTATCACACCACCACCAAACACAGCCACCACTCACCACCACCACCAAACTCCAGCCACTTCACCACCACCAAACACAGCCACCATTACCACCACCACACCACCAAACACAGCCACACCACACACCACCACCACCAAACACACACAGCCACCATTACCACCACCACCACACCAAACACACACAGCCACCACCACCACCACCACCAAACACAGCCACCATTACCACCACCACCACCAAACACACACAGCCACCACACACCACACCACACACCACAAACACAGCCACCATTACCACCACCACCAAACACAGCCACCACACACCACCACCACCACCACCACCACCAAAAAAAGCCACCATTACACCACACCACCACCAAACACACGCCACCACACACCACCACCACCACCACCACACCACCACCACAAACACACCATTACCTCACCACCACCACCACAAACACAGCCACCATTACCACCACCACCACCAAACACAGCCCACACACACCACCACCACCACCACCAAACACAGCCACCACACTACCACCACCACCAAACACAGCCACCATTACTACCACCACCACAACACAGCCACCACACACCACCACCACCAAACACACAGCCACCATTACCACCACACCACCACCAAACACACAGCCACCACCACCACCAAACACAGCCACACCACACCACCACCACCAAACACAGCCACCATTCTCCCACCACCAAACACAGCCACCATTACACCACCACCACCACCAGCCACCATTACCACCACCACCAAACACAGCCACCATTACCACTACCACCAACACAGCCACCATTACTACCACACTAAACACAGCCACCACATACCACCAAACACACACAGCCACCCATTACAATCACCACCAACTAAACCCCACCACATACACCACCACCAACACAGCCACCATTACCACCACCACCAAACACAGCCACCACACATAATCACCACCACCAAACACAGCCACCACAATCACCACCACCAACACAGCCACCACCACCACCAAACACAGCCACACACACCACCAAACACACAGCCACCATTACAATCACCACACCAACACAGCCACCACTCACACCAAACACACAGCCACCATACCACCACTCACCAAACACAGCCACCATACACCACCACCAACACACAGCCACACCATTACAAACCACCACCACCAAACACAGCCACCATTACCACCACCAAACCACCAAACACAGCCACCATACACCACCACCACACACAGCCACCACCCACCACAACCAAACAGCCACCATTACCACCACCAAACATATCCACCACACCATCACCACCACCACACACAGCCACCACTCCTGCACCACCACCAAAACACAGCCACCATTACCACCACCAACACCACCCAACACAGCCACCATACCACCACCACCACCAAACACAGCCACACATACCACACCACCACCACCAAACACAGCCACCATCACCACCACCACCACCAAACACACAGCCACCATATTACCACCACCACCACCAAACACAGCCACCCATACACACCACCACCACCAAACACAGCCAGCCATTATAACCACCACCACCACCAAACACAGCCACCATTATTACCACCACCACCACCAAACATAGCACCTACCACCAAAACACAGCCACAAACCAAACGCCACCATTCCACCACCACCAAACATAGCCACCATTATTACCACCATCACCAAACACAGCCCCATTATTACACTCACCACCACCAAACACAGCCACCATTATTACTACACTACCATCACTACCAAACATACATAGCCACTATTATTACCACTATCACCAAACACACACATTATTACTACACCACCAAACATAGCGCCAACACATACCACTCATCACTAAACACAGCGCCACTACACTTTGTGTGTGCCAAGGTTCTGTGATCCTTGTGTATATATTTGATGATTCTAGTTTCCTTGTAATTCTTAAAGGTGTGCTTCGATGATCCCTTAACTGCTTAGTACAGTGGTTCTCAACCTGGGGGCCATGGCCATCAAGGGAGCCATGGCATGAATTTAGGGGAGCCACTTGCCTGCCGTTATAAATTGTAATAAGGGAGCCATGGCATGAATTTAGGGGAGCCACAGCTCGCTGTTATAAATTGTACGTTTCCAAATAATGTTGGGAATCTGAATTAAACAAAACTTGCATTACTTATTTTGACTTGGCAGAAGAGAATTTTCATTATTTTTTTCTGTCATTTTGTTTAACCATAACGAAAATACAATTTTAATATTTACATACTCTGGTGCTAATTTTTTTTTTTTTTTACGGATTATTTAAGATTTCACAGGTCCAGTCCCTGTCTGTGTGACAGGTGCTGGACCGAGCTGCTGAACTGACTTGTTCAGTACGTGTCCGTGTGTCATCCCTTTGCAAGTGGTGATAGGACCGAATGATCTCAGTCTGGCCTGGGATACCATCACGAAAACAGTGGAGTGTATTATCTCTGAACCATATATTGTGTTTGAGCTTGACTCAAGCATAATATACTCCGTAATTGGTGATACTTATTTTGTTTCATAATTCATGTGGTCGCTGCTTTTCGTGGGTGAAATATTTGTACACTTCCTTTATTAATTATTTTCTTATTTATTGGTGCCATTGTTGTTCATACTCATTCTTTACTTATATAATCCTACCATTTTTAGTGCTAAATTGGTATGACTCCCTATTCTTCTCATTCTTCCAAGTTGGGCAGTGCATGTCAAAGGAGGCGTGTTCTTGCTTATAGGCAGTATACTTCAGCTTGCTAGCTTGAGTGTGAATGTTTACCTGTGTGCATGTTTGTGTATGACTCTATGTGTGCTTTATGTGTGAGTGCATGGGCGTGGTATGTATGTGAATGTGTATGTGTGTTGCCAAACTAACTCTTGTCCTATTTATCTGTCCTTCTTTATCATTCTTTAGTCTTTATCACTTGTCTGTTTGTCTGTTCTGACATTCTGTCTTCTTTATTTTCTCTAGATTTGTGATGGCTACTAGTGTTGCGAAGAAGCGGAAGTACATCGATGGATACATTAACTACGGATTTACATCAATCCTCGCTGATGGCATTGAGAAACCTCAGTGTGTGCTGTGCTTCAAAGTGCTGGGGAACGATTCTATGAGGCCTAGTAAGCTGAAGCATCATCTGATGACGATCCATCCACAGTATACAGAGAGAGACACCGATTTCTTCAGGCGCCATGAACGGAGTTTGGGAAAACAGAAACTGGACGAGAGTGGTGCTTTCCAGCAACAGACCGTAAGTGTAGTTGAGGCATCATACGAGGTTTCCCTCGTAATAGCAAAGCAATAGAAGCCCCATACAAATGGTGAAACTTTAATTAAGCCATGTGCTTTAAAAATGGTCAAACGGGTTCTTGGAGAGGCAAGTGAACGTAAAATTCAACAAATTTCCTTGTCAAACGATACAGTGAAACGGAGAATTAATGAAATGTCAGATGACATAAAGGAAAAAGTGATGCAGGGGATCAAATTATCTCCAACTGGTATGTTTGCAATACAGCTGGATGAGTCAACGGACGTGAGTTCTTGTGCACAGCTACTCGTGTTTGTTAGGTATGTTTTCTTGTGTGACATCAAGGAGGAATATCTGTTCTGTACACAGCTTGAGACCACCACAACAGCTGTAGATGTGATGGAAAAGCTGTTTTCTTTCTTCGCAGCTAACTGAATCAGCTGGGAAAATTGTTGTGGAGTCTGTACGGGTGGGGCTCTGGCGATGCTGGGATCGAAATCGGGGTTCCAGAAGCATGTCAAGGAAGTAGCTCCGAATGCCAAGGGGATCCACTGTATGATCCATCGTTTTGCACTGGCGTCGAAAACCCTCCCTGATGAACTTTGTAAGATCCTGGAGGCAGTGGTCAAATGTGTCAACTTTGTGAAAGCTTTAGATCTGAACTCTCGCTTTTTCCAGAACCTTTGTAGAGAGATGGATTCAGAGCATGAAGCCCTCCTCTTTTACTCCAAAGTGCGCTGGCTTTCCAAGGGCAATGTTGTGAATCGAGTATTTGAACTCCGGGGAGAGCTTAAGTTGCTCCTGGAAGTGCAAGGGAAAGATGATCTATTAAGTCACTTCAATGAGGTGTTGTGGGAGCCACGTCTTGCATATTTAGCAGATATATTTGAGCAGCTAAACAGCAGAATCTCAAGCTGCAGGGCAAGGACAGAAATGTGTTTCACCTCATGGATTGTCTTCGTGCATTTCTTGCCAAGCTCCAGAATTGGCAAAGGGAAGTCAATGCAGGAAATGTTGCCATGTTTGAGAATCTTTCAACTGTTTTTGATGAAAATGAAGATCATCTGCTTGACCCATCACTCAAAACTGAAATCACTCAGCACCTGAAATCCTTGGAAAGTGAGCTCAAAAAATATTTCCCAGAATTCGAGGAGGAAGGTGGGAAATTGGTGAGGAATCCTTTTTCTGGCACTCTTGATATTGCTTCCATTTCCAATGATGTTCAGGACGAATTTCTTGATCCCAAGAATGATTCTGCTGCCAAAGATCTCTGACTGCATTCTGGTGCTCAATGTATCAGTCATATCCAAAAGTTAGCGAGATTGCACTTCGAGTCCTCTTGCCTTTTTCAACTACCTATTTATGCAAATCTGGTTTCTCCACCCTTCTACATATAAAGGGTAAAAGCTGGAACCGGCTTGATGTGGACCCGGACATGAGATGTGCATTGTCAGTGACACAACCTCGGATCAGTCACCTGACTGAAAGGAAGCAATGTCAGCCTTCCCATTGAGCTGTGACAAAATATGCAGAGATCATATGAACTTTTTCCCAACCAAATTCAAGTTTGCTGTGAGGCTTGTCTAGAAGTCACTCTCGTCTAGTGACGTCAGTTATGTAAATCATGTAAGTCTATCAAAATATAAGATAATGATTGGTGGTTGCTAGTGTTCCCTGAAGAATGCAGTGATGGGTAGGGAAACACTGTGTAACACTGAAGTCCGTTTATTATGAATGAGAGAAATACAAGTGGTGACTCGCGTGTGCCATGCACGGCTCACACAGTCAGACTGAGGCTGCCTTGCCATATGGCAGCCTCGGGGCAATGTTGCCACTTAACGTGCAGTGTTGCCACGTGATGATATATATAAATGCTACTCGGCACAGTAGCTTATATACAGGGTTGCTACTCGGCACAGTAGCTTATATGCACTGTGGGGCGGATCCTCGTGAGGTGTAGGTGACTCGTCCTCGGTCAGGGGGCCAGCAGCAGGGGGTGGGACTGGCCGGAGGAAGCTGCGGTTCCTCCACCAGACACGGCCGCTCGGCATCCTGACCTTGTAGTCCCGCGACTGGCCGACGCCAATCACTATGCCCACCTTGTCCCAACGTGTCGTCGTCGGGTCCTGGACGCGGACAAGGGCACCAATCTCCACTGGCTGAAGAGGGCGGGCACGGTCATCATACCGAGCCTTGGCGTCCTGGGCACGTGTAGTGGCACGGCGGTCGCAGCTCTCGGCTCTGGTCTGCCAGTCCTTCGCAAAGGCCTTGGCGTGTACAGGAACGCAAGAGCGGAGAGGGTGGCCATACAGGATCTGGGCAGGGGAGCTTCCTGTGTGGGTGGGAGTGGACGCGGGTTCTGGGCAGCTCCGTGCGGCAGCGCCAGGAGTGTCTCTCGTCGACTCACGCACCCTGCTGGCGGTGTAACGAGCAGCTGGGATCTGCTCGGGAAAGTCTCTAGGCACCACGCCTAACTCCTTGCAGTGCTCCCACGACAACAAGGGTGTAGCGAGAGTAGGCTGCACGTCGATCCATCCGTGACACGACCTGTCGCCGTAGGTGATCTCGGCTTGAAAGGAGCCCACAGCGTCCGGCATCTGGGAACCGTCCGCATTGTAGTACTGCAGCTGCGGCGGTGGTCCCAGCCCGCGTTTGGTGAGGCCCAGTTTCTGGAGGTGCTTCAACCCAATCACCGTAGTATCAGCGCCGGTGTCCGGTATCACCTCGATGTGACCTGACACATCACCGTGTGTGACGGCGACGCGGATGGTGGGGGAAGGGGTAGCCCTGGGGCGTGTGGTCGAGTCCACCCTCCTGATGTGACTCCGCTGCTGCTTGGGGCTGCGTGGGCCATCTGGAGGGGGCTGCGTGCGAACCACCCCGAGGGAAGTGCGCTGCTTTCCTCCTCGTCTCGGGCTTTTGGGCTTGGGTTGGCGGCAGCACTTGTCGTAGTGTCCATAGCGACCGCAGGCCTGACACTTGTGGCCTCGTGCAGGGCACCTGTCTGTGTTAGACCAGTGGCCCTTACGGTCACATCCACGACACAGTGCGTCGGCGGCCGGGCATGTCTTGTGGCCGTGCTGCTTTCCACAGCTGCCACAGGAAGCACTAGGCGGAGGCGTGGAAGAACGTGCGGCAGCCTTCGCGTTGTTGGCCGCCTTCTTATCCTTCTTGTATTGTGAGATAGCTCTCACAGCAGGTGGGGCCCGTAAGGCAGAGGTGGCGGACTTGGTGGCCTCGTATGACCGACATTCAGTCACTACCACTGTGGAGGAAGCGTCCAGGGGGATGAGTCGCTGCATCAACTCTTCGTGCCTGACACCTGTCAAGATCCCGTGCTTGATCCAGGCTTCCTCACATTCCCGGCTGTGCGCCTTGCAGACGTCGATCTCCTCTGACAAACTCTTCAAACGTCGGGAAGAGGGTCCATGACAGCAGGAGGGTGCAAGACAGGCGCAGTGGGTACCTGAGGAAGAAAAGAGGGTGCCCAGAAATGTTGTGGGCGAGCTGGTGGAGGAGGTGCGGGATGAATGTGTTCAGGGTGGTGGGAAGGCTGGCGTGGGGCAGTAGCCTTGAATGCAGAAACCGCCTGACGTAGTGTTTGTAGTAGGTCATGACGGGCAGCAGGAGTAAGGTGGTCAAGGTCAGAAGTAAGGCGTGTGATGTACTGCTTGATAGTGGCGGAAGTTATGGCGCTTACCCGTCTCCGCCGATGTCGCTTCGCCGTGTGGTTGCAGGGGGCCTCACAGCATCTAGCATTAGCACCAAAACGTTGATGGTACCAACAGGGGGTAGATACACTGTGCTGGGGGCGGCGTCTGAGGCAGGACGGGTGTGTTGGGGTCGGTAGGACGTGGTGCATGAGTTAGGAACAGGTCCAGCAGCAGGCATGCAGGAGCAGAACTGTTCAATGGTGTCCATCCTGCGGTTCAAAGTTAGCAACAGGTCCCTGATGTGAGGTATTGCTCGGCTGAGGGGTGTTGATCCGGTTTACAAGTTCGGAGGAAAGTACTGTTGTGGTCGTTGGGTTGTCCGCGGCAGCCAGGCACGTAGCCGCGCACTCGTTGAATATTCTGTCTGCCGCGGTTGCGTAGAGTTCAGGTGTCGTTGAGTAATCTTTTGCGGACAGGATGATACGTACTTGTGTGGGGAGCTTTTGTGCGTGAAGCTGGCGCAGGATAGGGTCGGGAAGTCTGTCTGTGTGCCGGGAGTTCAGCCTACACATCTCCTCCCAGAGAAGCCCCGGAGTTGAGTTTCCAAGGGAGATAGAAGATAGGTTCTGCAGGAGACTGGGGCGGGTCCATCGGTAATGCGTTTTTAAGGCGTCCCGCAGGGTGGCGAATTTGTTGTTCTCTGGAGGGTTGAAAATAGTCCGTGATACATGCATGGCGACTTCCGTGGGCAAGGAAGAGAGCAGGGCGCCGTACTTTTGCTCGTCAGTAGCTTGTGAGCCGATGAGGATTACTTCCACATGATCTAACCAGTCCTCAATGTTGTGGTTGAAAGTCGGTAGAGAGATCCGTCTGTCCATTCTTGTGGAAGTGTGTTACACAGTCGTGAGATGGTGTCGTAGTGGGGTAGCACGTGGTGCGGGTGGTGTCGTCGTGGAGGAATGGGGTAGCACGTGGTGCAGGTAAAGCAGTTGGCCTAGGCTGGCAGCAGTCAGGACGATCTTCTCAGCTCCAGGAGTAAAGCAGCAGAAAGGAGTGTGGTGTTAACGGCTCCAGGGGTCACCAATTGTAGATTTACATCAGATGTTTCTCCTCCATCCTGTGTGAGTGCGAATCTCCTGGGGGTCACCATTTGTGGAGTTATGTGATATTTGGTTCACACTCAGGATGGGATGGAGAAAGGAAACTCACAATGTGCTCTCTGTATACATGTTGTATTGGATGTACAATGCAGCTTGGTGCTGGGAAGGCAGCATGGTTACAAGCGTTGTATAGAGAGAGCTGGTTGGTGAGGGTGCTCAGAGGAGGACCAGCTTGTGGGTCGCTATGGTCGCCGGCTGGAGCGAGGACTGCCAGGCAGGAGGAGGAGGTGTTGCTTGCTGGTGGCTGTGGGTAGTAAGAGTGGTCACCACGAGGTGTGGGTCGCCATGGTCGCCGGCGGGAGCGAGGGCCACTAGGCAGGAGTGGAGGAGGAGGTGTTGCTTGAAGACTGGCTGTAGGTAGAAAGAGTGGTCACCACGAGGTGTGGGTCGCCATGGTCGCGGCTGGAGCGAGGGCCGCCAGGCAGGAAGAGGAGGAGGTGGTTGCTGGTGGCTGTGGGTAGTAAGAGTGGTCACCACGAGGTGTGGGTCGCCATGGTCGTCGGCTGGAGGAGGGGCCACTAGGCAGGAGGGAGGAGGAGGTGCTTGGAAGACTGGCTGTAGGTAGAGGGTCACCACGAGGTGTGGGTCGCCATGGTCGCTGGCTGGAGCGAGGGCCGCCAGGCAGGAGGAGGAGGAGGTGTTGCTTGCTGGTGGCTGTGGAGTAGAAAGAGTGGTGACCACGAGGTGTAGGTCGCCATGGTCGCCGGCTGGAGCGAGGGCCGCCAGGCAGGAGTGGAGGAGGAGGTGTTGCTGGTGGCTGTGAGTAGAAAGAGTGGTCACCACGAGGTGTGGGTCGCCATGGTCGCCGGCTGGAGCGAGGGCCGCCAGGCAGGAGTGGAGGTGGAGGTGTTGATTGATGTTGCTTGCTGGTGGCGGTAAGTAGAATGAGGTAGGTCACCACGAGGTCAGGTCTTATATAGCGGAGGTAGGCGTGGCTTAATAGTTGACCTCAGTCATGTAATGCGGCGCTGGTTGCTGACCTAGACCACGAGTCATACACTGGGGAATTCGCAGGGTTGGCTAGCCAGCGACAAACAGCGTTTGTAGGGGAGGAATCCACTACAATACTCCCCCCTTCCCTCCAAGCGGTGTAGGAGACTTGTTGTCTGCAGGGTTGCATCCCACTTCTGAGGCAGAACGGGCGGTGCAGGAGACTTGTTGTCGGCTGGGTTGTATGCCACATGTGAGACATAACGGCGAGAGCGTGGATGAGCCGGCCGCTAGTGGAGACAACTTTGTCTAGATACACGAGATCTGTGGGAGGAGAGAGGGAGAAGGAGGGTTGTGGAGGTGATGAATGTTGTGCTTCCCTCGTGGCAGGTACAGAGTCCTCAGATGCGCCTGCTCGGGTGTCTGGGTCTGGGTCAGGAGCAGGGGCTGCGTCAGGAGGAGGGTCTATGACAGCATCAGGGTGCAGGACAGTAGCAGGGAGTACCTGAGGGAAAAAAAAGGGTGTGTGGG